ACAACAGTGTACCTGTGAATGGTTGTGATCTGAGCTGTCGTTGGCAGTGGCTCTGTACCATATGATCCTTGTGATCCAATCACTAGTAGTGTTTACAAACATTCAGTCCGTTCACAATGGAGGACACCCCCCTTTCTCTGTTGTGTTAAGCTGTTTCTAAACACAACAGGAAGGAGGATTGGCATATCAAAGGTGAAGGGGGGGCCTAAAGTGCCACTGACCACCACCAATGATTGGATTGCTTTTTAATAGGGGGGTTGTATTGGCATTGACCAGCAATGGTTGCAGATTTTATGTTTTGGGAAGGGAAAGGGGTCGTGAGATTTTCTTCTTTTTTTGGGGGGGAGTTAACATGACACTGACCACCAATGATTGTGGGATTTTTTCTACCGTGGTGGTGGTGGAGGAGGGGGGGTATTGCAAAAAGTGGAGGGGTACATACACGCTAATACTTAACTCAGGTGTTGGCCCATACAGAGTAAAACAACAGGAGTCCCATGTTCCTCCATATCCAGAAGCATTATTTATTTTTGCTTTTGGTGGGTAAAAGGTGGGGGTATAGACATGAAAGGCAACTGTACACCCCTGACTGCAAACGAGAAAAACAATAAGGGCCCCTGTATACCTCTGTGTGTTTTTGCATGCATTTTTGTGCATTAGGTTAGTAGTTGTAAATCCTTACATATACCCAGTGAAGTGACTGGCCTTAGAGATGAAACAAACCTGCCTACATAAGTTGTATCTGTTTATCTGCTACCATCTTTTCGTAGCCATATAAAGTGCAGAATTTATACAGCTTGTTTTAGCTTCCAGAAAGCAGGGGGAGCTGAAGTGACACTATGCAGAGCTCAGTGAGAACTTATTGGGAAGGGAGATACACCCCCCCCCCCCCCCTTCACATAGCGCACAGAAACAGAGCTGAACCTGTCAATCACAGACCATGTGCTGGAGCTCCCTCCTCTGTCACCTTTTTATCTTGGTATCAGGAAAACTTGTCAGAAGTGACTCATGCAGATAGCAGAGGATCAAGGCAGCAGATAGAAATAGCACTTACTTCTCTGCACTGACACATGTACACACCATACAGGGATATGCTTTGTTCATAGTTCATGTCCGAGGTTTACAACTACCTAAAGGGCAGATTCATAACATGTAATTTGGCTTTCAATAAAGATAGCATGGTCTTGTATGAAAATTCAGCAGGCTATCTTTGCGTATACATTTTATTCTGTAGTGATACATGTTGATTTGTATATCTTTTCTTTGTTATATATGGTAAAAAAAAGCCAGGCACCCCTTAACAGCACTGCTACACAGCAGACACCAGACACGACAAAATAGAGCTTGTTAGTGTGCGAGTGTGAACATAGCCTTAATATCAGACGTTTCAACCTCTGACTTTTTTTTAGTTTGCAGTTTCATTTTTGTCCTAGTGACAACCACATCCCCATTCTTGTATTCAAGTCACAGAGACAGGAAGTGATGAAAAATCCAGGGGAGAAATTTTAACTCTTTCCTGTTCTATCAGAAACTAAAAATAAATCCTGTCCATAGACACCTCGAATTTTGGTTGATTCCTACTGTTTGGATGACAGTCTAGCTGTGGTTACCCTGCAAGTGCTATTTAACAATCAACCAGGAGGAAACTTATCAACTGAACAGTGAGTGAACTCTATCCTCCATCCATGTAAAAAGTGGAATTCCAGATTACACCAAAATAGCCTAAAAAACTGTCCCTTCCCCTTCCTAACATCTATGCTAACTAACCTGTGTAAAAAAGATGCATATGCTTAGTAATGTTTTGCTCACTCTGGTCTGGTCACGTGATCTGGCTCCCCTGTCTCAGCCAGTTGCAGCTGCAGGGGAGAAGAGGGAGCACCCACAACAGATGGGGTCATAGGAGCCTATCAGTGATGTCACCACCCAGGCTTTAAGAACTGTTGTTGAACCCTCTCTCCACTCTCCTGCTGCTGGCAGACACATGGGAGATCATGTGACTGGACCAAAGCGGCCTGAAATAGGTACGTATACACATCTTTCTTAACAGATTACTTAGCATAGCTGTTAGGAGGGAGGGAAGGGACAGTTTTAATGTAAGTTAGGTGGAAGCTGCAATTCCACTTTAAAGCAGAAATAATCATAATTTTTGTGCGACAACCCCTGTCAGGTTGTATGGCCATCTGTGTTTCATTTAGGAGATTTTCATCCACTTCCTGTCCCACAGCCAAAACAGGAAGTGGGAGGAAAAACCTCCAGAGTTCCTTGTTGTTGTCACAAAAAACTAGTATCATTACTCAGAGGTGTCCCCTTTATTCCTGTTCTGGTGACAACCCCAAATTTGGGATTTTCTTTCAGTATCTGTGATAACGGTCATCAAGACAAATAGGGTGGGGGAGTGGGTGATCCTCCCTAACAGGGACACAGACAGCAATAAAAACCTGACAGCTGTTCTAATTCCTTTCCACTCTATCCAAAACTATAGAAAACAACCCACCAGAATGTGGTGCCAGAAAGGCACGTTCCATGCACATTTCCCACACCATGTTCATCTGCTGCTGTCAATACTTTGTTGGCACCCCAAATGCAGATCACAAACTCACTGCGTTTGCAGTCACAGAATTGCATGGTACCGAAGTGGCATGCAATTTGGTACGGCATGTTTTTCAAAAGTAGTTCATGCACTACTTTTTGGGCAGCCCTGTGCGCAATTCATGTGAATGGGCTGCCAAATTGCAGTACAGGGGATTGCTCAGGAATTGAACAGGAACTGCATTCCTATGTGACTCTGGTGTGAACTTGCCCTTTAATCACTTGGTTACTGTATGATGACTATAGCGTGATGACCCTGTTCTGGGAAGGCGTCATATAATGTCCCTCCAGAACGCACCCTTCTGTGCGCCCCCACGGGCATGCACCCGGCAATCTCCACGATCACTGTGTCCTACGGACACAGCTGATCACGTGATGAGTAAAAGGCCAATCACAGAGGCCTTTTACCACGTGATCAGCTGTGTCCAATGACACAGCAGATCATGGAGTAAATACAGTTACTGGTTATCAGCAGCACTTTCCACATGCTGTCACATCGTGAGGAAAGTACTGCCGATAACCAGCAGCTGTCACAGAGGAAATCGGCCCTGCAGTGCTGCCCAGCAGTGCCACCCACCAGTGCCCAGAAGTGCCCCCCAGCTGTCCAACCATTAGTGCCCCAGCAGTGCTGCCCAGCAATGCCCATCAGTGCCGCCTATCAGTGCCCAGCAGTGCTGCCTATCAGTGCCCATCAGTGCCTCCAGTCAGTGACATCAGTCAGTGCTGCCAGTCAGGGCTGTCAGTCAGTGCCTTCAGTCAGGGCCGCTCATCAGTGTCGCCCATCAGTGCAGCATCATCAGTGCCTCCCCATCAATGCCCACCAGTGCTGCCTCATCAGTGCCCATCAGTGCTGCCTATTTGTGCCACCTCATCAGTGCCCATCAGTGCTGCTTATCAGTGCCCATCAGTGCTGCCTATCCATGCCACCTCATTAATGCACATCAGTGAAGGAGAAAAATTACCTGTTCGCAAAATTTTATAATAGAAACAAAGAAAAACTTTTTTTTTTTTCAAATTTTTTGCTATTTTTTTGTTTATGTCACAAAAAATAAAACATCCAGTGGCGATTAAATACCACCAAATGAAATCTCTATTTGTGTGAAAAAATTTATAAAAATGTCATATGGTTACAATGTTGCATGACCCGCGCAATTGTCATTCAAAGTGTGACAGCACTGAAAGCTGAAAATTGGCCTTGGCACAAAGGGGGTAAAAGTGCCCAGTAGGCAAGTGGTTAAATGATGTTTATGCTTTCATGAACAGTCTGTTCCAGCTTGTACATCTATATTTACCCAGCTTGCATTGTAGTTTAATAGACCTGTCAAGAGCTCTCAAAGATCTGTGGTTCAATAATTATAATGGCAAACATTCATTCTTGTCCTCCTAGTATTGTCCCCTTTAAATAGGGTTCCCTTTTCACTTTTAATATGGTGTGGTAAGACAGCACTGCTTACATTGTCGTTAAAAATAAATTACCATTCATTAGTAGGCAATTAAAACGCAATGAAATGAGCAACAGCCTAGATCACATGAGCGCGGAAATTCTCTGGCCTGCTGTTCAGGAACATAGCGACAGTGCTGGATAATCCTAATGAGACTGATGACCTGAAAAGCCTGGTATAAAAAGCCCAGCTTTTGCCTGACTAATGTTAGAATGTGAACAAGGGAGAGCAGGGAAAGAAAAAACAAAAAAAAGCGACTGATCATAGCAACACGGATGACGTGGAAGTGGTTAAATGGAAATCAAACAGTAAAGACAGCACAGTCTGAGAGCGTGCAGGCCTGACATTTCAAACAAGGACAAGGTAGCAGCACTCACAGTCTGTGAACTTCACAGTTGGCAATGGCCCAAGTGTCTGTAAATGCCCATGAAGGGAGAGGGGCGGGAGGGTGGGACACGGCAAGAACTAGGTTAGTTTACACCAATATGTCTGCAATAAAAGACTGGCTGGCACAGGCCTCCATCTGACCTGTCTCCCTGAAAATGTTTTCATCAAGAATGCAGGAATCTCTTCAGCCGAGAGAACATGTTGTATTCTTCCGAAAAGCTAAAGGGGGAAAAAACTCTCTCTTTCAGATAATCCAAACCTAATCCTTTCTGGCATCGCTGAACTGTTCACCCCTTCAGGACCAGCAGGGGACGGTGATCATGGTGCCTAGAAAGCCAGCTCTATGACAGGCGGAGGAAGGATGTGACAGCTGATTACAGACAGCGGCCTACTAGCCAGGAGCACCTTGGAATCACTGACTCCATGGCACATGGGGCTTATTTACCAACCAAGAGAGCGATAGAGAAACGCAAAACAATGAAACGAATTGGCTTTTCGTAACTTGGCCTGCTGTTAGCTAATGGAAGCTGAGTTCTGATTGTATGTACATACAAAGTGCAGCGCTTAACCACTTCAAGTCCAGACCAGGGGTGGACTGACAGCTCATGGGGCCCCCGGGCAATAGGGGATCATGGGGCCCCTGTGTCCTTGCCCAAACTCAAAAAAGCCTATGAAAAAGGTACCAGAGGCATCTCATGGGGCCCCCTACTGACCCCAGGCCCTCGGGCAGTGCCTCAGTTTCCAAATGTTCAGTCTGCCCCTGGGCTGGACACTTTTACCCACTTCCAGGGGCGGACTGACAACTCATGGAGCCCCCGGGCAATAGGGGATCACGAGGTCCCTGTGTCCTTGCCCACACTCAAAACACACCCAAAAAAGCCTATAAAAGGTACCAGGGGCATTTCATGGGGCCCCCTACTGACCCTGGGCACTCGGGCAGTGCCCGAGTGTTCAAATGGTCAGTCCGCCTCTGCCCCCTTCCTGTCCAGGCCAATTTTCAGCTTTCAGTGCTATCACACTTTGAATGACAATTGCGCGGTCATGCAACACTGTACCCATATGTATTTTTTAGCATTTTTTTGAGACAGATAACACTTTAATTTGGTGGTATTTATTCACCACTGGGTTTTTTATTTTTTTTTGTTATATAAATGAAAAAGCCCAAAAATTTTGAAAAAAAGTGTTTTTCTTAAAAAATTTGCAAATAAATAGTCTTTCTTCATAAATCGTGGCCAAAATGTATTCAATTATCTTTTTAGTAAAAAAAAAAAAAAAAAACCCAGATTAGTTTATAACCAAAAATTATATTTTTTTCAGAATTTTTTTTTTTACATTTTTATTTTTTTTTTATATTATTTTTTTTTTTGTTTACATACTGTCACCCTAGCAGTGCAGTGACAATGTACTACTTGTGGGGTGATGAACATTTTTTTTTTTTTACACTGATTGCTTTTACATCCATAAAGTCTGTAAAAGCAATCGTTTCTCCTTCTCTCTGGCTGCATTCTTGCAGCCATTGAGAAGTACTGTGTGAGCTGTGATTGGTCACAGCTTGTCACATGGTACAAGGCTGTTGTGAATAGTCTTGTACCATGTGATCTCTGTGATCATTCACAGATTTCACTAGTAGTAAGCAATGATGTCAGAAGTGACATCTTGCTTACTACTATTCATGTGATCTCTGATTGGCCAATCAGTGATCACATGATCGGGACCTCACACAGAGGTCCCGTACAACGATTGATCCGGACACAGCGGGCACCAGATCGCGGTGCTGCACGATCCCAGGGAGCGCGCACAAGCAGGGAGCGGGGAGGACATTTATAAACGGCCACCAGCCCCTGCACTGCTCCCGTCCGGCCATTTATATACATGGGCCGGATGGGAAGTGGCTAATAAAGTGACAAATAGTGAAAAAAACTGTGAAAAATCTGTCATAAAAAATAGTCCATCCAAAAATAAAGCAAAAAGTCCCCAGAAGCTGTGATGAAACAAAGGAAAACTTAGATTGTAAGCTCCAAAGGAGCAGGGCCCTCGTAACCCTCTTGTATTGAACTGTATTGTTGCTGTGTTGTCTCCCGTTATATTGTAAAGTGCTGAGCAAACTGTTGACGCTATATAAATCCTGTATAATAATAATAATAATAATTAAAAATCCAAGGACAGTTGTTGTGTCACAATCCACTCATACGAAAGGCTTACCAGAAAGGCACGACCCCCTGTTAAAAGTGGTCAATCGGGCTTTGTTATAAATAATTTATGTATATATTGTTTACTGCCTGGTATCGGGTTTATTTGTGTTCAGCTGTTATATGTTTACATTCTATTTTGATTATTATTTACTACAATTTTCATAAGCGCAAGTTTATATAAATTTAATTTTGTTTATGTATACATCTGTTCAGTCATATATGAGTCTTGGCCAGATCTCTGACACCATGACTGATACGCTTGAAGGGGGACTCCACTTAAAAAAAAAATAAATCATTGAATTGTATTGTATTGTAACTGTACTGTATGCTAGGCTTGCCACCTTATCCCTTTAAATCCTAACACATTAATTACACAGATTTTGTGGCTGATTAAGGTGGTAATTAAACTCACTTGCCCTCCAGAGGATTTACCCCCAGTCCTGACCAGGCCATTTTTTGCAATACGGCGCTGCTTTGCTTTAACTGACAATTGCGTGGTCATGCAATGCTGAACCCAAATGAAATTAACACCCTTTTTTTCCCACAAATAGAGCTTTCTTTCAGTGGTATTTGATCCCCTGTGCGTTTTTATTTTTTGTGCTATAAACAAAAAAAGACCGACAATTTTGAGAAAAAAAACAATATTTTTGACTTTTTGCTATTAATTATGTCCAGTAAAAAAAAATGTAAAAACAAAATTTCGTCATAAATTTAGGCCAAAATGTATTCTTCTACATGTCTTTGCTAAAAAAAATCCCAATACGTGTCAATCAATTGATTTATGTGAAAGTTATAGCTTTTACAAATGGCGGTATATATACTGGAATGTTTTTTTTCTACTAGTAATGGCGGCAATCAGAGGCTTATAGCGGGACTGCGGCGGGCATTCTGACACTGGGGGGAACTGACTTGGTGCCACTGACATCCCCAGTGACACCAATACAGTGATCAGTGTTAATAAAAAGCACTGACACTGTACTAATGGCACTGGGCAGGAAGGGGTTAACATGTGGGGTGATCAAAGGGTTTTACTATGGGGGCTGTGTGTGTTTCACTGTAAGCACACTGCTGTGTATGGCTCTGCTATGCAGAGCCATACACAGCAGTGTGCAGGAGCTGACGGGGGAGAGATCCGTGTTGTTTATACACAGGTCTCTTCCCCGTCGGAGATCGGTGATCACCAGGTGCTGGCAAGGAACCACCGACCAGGACAAGGTGATTCCCTAACTGCAAAATCCCATATATATGCGTGATTTTGCGCACCCGTGCCGCCCTGTAGCAGTATTTCTGCTATAGGGCATTGTGGAAGCACTTAAATTAGCCTCAGAACCTGTGTAGATAACATATGTTTGGATTTAAAGGGATGAGGTGGCAACCCTACTGTCTGCCCTTCTGTTGTAAAGCGCTGTGCAGACTGTTGATGCTATATAAATCCTGTATAATAATAATTATAATATAGCATATCAAATCATCACACAAGCTATTTTGTAATTTAGGCCTCATGCACACAGGGCATTTTTGCAGCCACTTTTAGGGGCGGCGGGCATTTCTTTTTACTGCTTGCAAACGCCCCTCCATGTTATCCTGTGTCCAAGCACGCATAGACTTTTAGCAGCTTTTAGTGGCAGGGACATTTACCAGCAGGGAAAAAAAACCAGAACCAGTGCGCTCAGAAGCAGCAGCATTTTGGCAGAAAAAAAAGATGCATGTAATGCTTGAGCATCAATGGATTTCAATGATCAGAATAAATGTTTATTCTGGCCAATGAAATGAATTAATGCCCGAGCGCTTGATGCCTGTAAACGCACCTAAACGCTTTTACAAGTGTCTTTTCTGCCAAAACATTGCTGCCAAGAGGAGGAGCTTTTTTAAAATGCCTTGTGTGCATGATGTCCTAAAGTGTAATTTTAAGTATAACTAAAGGAAAAACTTTTTTCTAGCTTTGAATGGCATTGGTTCTTATTGCTGTCTTTTTCCCCATTAGGAAGATTCACCCTCTTTATTTGTCCTGTTTACCATTATCATTGAAAGCAAAAGAAAATTCCAAATTTTGGGTTGTCCTCAGAAAAGTAAGAGAGGGGAAATGTTCCAATGGGGACACTAGTTCTGGTGACCTGGGGGGCCCCAAGGAATACCATTATTTTGCAGAGATTTCCTCTCGCTTCCTGTTTGGCTATGGGACAGGAAGTGAAGAGAAATCTCCCCAATGGGACACAGATGGCGAAAAAAAAATCTGACAAGGGATTATAACACTCCTTTGCTCTATCAAAAAAAAAAAGGTTTGGCCTACAATTCTACAAAAGTATAATCCTATATATACTGTGTGTGTATATATATATATATATATATATATATATATATATATATAGTACATATATAAAATATATATGTCTGTTGTCGCATTATGATCGATTTCTTGCTGGCCATGTGGCGCTTATGTGTGTAACCAAAATAAGGAATGGGGTTTATAGCTAGGTTCAGATCTCTGCAGGTGGTGTCGCTGCACATCCGCACGAAAATCCGTGCAGCCGCACCACCCGCACATAGGAATGCACCCCGCAGTGGAAAACGCGACCTTACTGGGAACCAAGTTTTCAGAAGAAGCGCAGGGACTTCTCTGTGTGTCACGGGGCACGGGAGTCCATTCAAATGAATGGGCTCTCGTGCCCGCGCAAAATGCAGCCCGCACAGCCACTTATATGTGAACCAGGGCTAAAGGATAAGTCCACCTATTAAGAAAAAATAATAAATGCACATTTTTTTGCAGGTAAAAAAAATGTGCATTAATTATTTTTTGTTCCTGAAGCCTCTAAAGCATTGCACCAGTAATCAGCAGATCGCTGGTGCCATGCAGGCCTCCTGCAGACTTGTCAGTGTATCTGTGTGCCCGTACACCTCTTAAGGGCAAGCAGATACTTACTGACAAGAAGATGCAATGAACTATCATGGCGCTCCACAGAGCTGTGGTCATTCATTGTGAACTACAAGCTGTTGGAACTTGTAGCATTCTCATTCACAGAATACTGTGAAATAGTGAGGCGGCCAGATGGGTGGAGCCCTGCATGGCCGCATTTTTTTATAATTGTGACTAGCAGGGGGAGAGGCAGGGGCGGACTGACCATTTGGAAACTTGGGCACTGCCCGAGGGCCCGGGGTCAGTAGGGGGCCCAATGAGATGCCCCTGGTACCTTTTTCATAGGCTTTTTTGAGTTTGGGCAAGGACACAGGGGCCCCATGATCCCCTATTGCCCGGGGGCCCCATGAGTTGTCAGTCCGACCCTGGAGAGAAGATCCTCTGCTAGCTGTAACAATGGGCATGGGGGGGTGCGAAGGCCGGTCCTTTCCTAACATATTACACCCTGAATATGGGTGTATGAAAGGTGAACTTATCTTTTAAAAGATAAATTAAATGTATTAAAAATAAAAAAAATTCACATTTTTTTGCAGGTAAAAAAAATGTGCATGTATTTATTTATTTTTTTCTGAGGAGCCTGTAAATCGATGCACCCATAATCAGCAAATCCTGGGAGCAATGTCAGGCTCTTGCAGACTGTCAGTACACTGTCTGCCCATACTTCTGATTCAGGCAGGCAGTTACTGTAGTCCAGGAAGCTCAATGGACTATGAGAGTGCTCACTAGCACCCTAACAGTTCATTGAGAGTTGTCACTCGCAAAGGCTGATGGTACTTGTAGGCATTCATTCACAAGAAACTGTGAATGAATGACTCGGACATTCGGGTGGAACTCTGCACGGCTGCGTTAGTTTTAAATTGTGTCAGCAGACTTGGGGAGAAGAACCCTCACCTGCTGTCACAGGGAGGGGGAAGAAGCTTCAGCTGATGGAGAATGTTATATGTTTCACCCTAAAAATGGATGGAACATGTAGTATGTTCCAAAAAGTGAACTTATCCTTTTATGCCCACATGCCGCACATATGCGTCCATGGATGGCTGAGGTTTCTCTGTTGAAAGCACAGCGACTGAGCTGTCATAGACAGCTCTTGGTCTCTAGTAATGATCAAGAGTCGGGGGAACTGGCTGCCAATCATATGACCACTGACAGCCAATCACAATGGATACGTCATCGTACCCTCTGAGCCTAAAAATCCCATTAAAGGGATGTTGGGGCTGGGCAGAAAGGGGTTAACTTAAAGTGCTTGGAAATGGCATGCAGAATCAGGGGTGGACTGACAACTCATGGGGCCCCCGGGCAATAGGGGATCATGGGGCCCCTGTGTCCTTGCTCAAACTCAAAAAAGCCTATGAAGAAAGGTACCATGGACATCTCATGGGGCCCCCTAATGACCCCGGGCCCTCAGGCAGTGCCCGAGTTTCCAAATGGTCAGTCCGCCCCTGTGCAGAATGTTATAGACTCATACAAACATACTATGGCCAATCAACCTACAAGCAAATCTTTGGAGTATGCAAGGAAACTGAGGAACCCAGAAGAAAAGCAAGCAAACATGCAATCTCTATGCATACAGAGGCATCAAGTCCAGCTTCTGAATCAAGGATCCAAGTGCTGCAGGGCAGAAGTACCAGCTACTAGGCTATTATGCTGTTCCTTGATTTCTGATTGGTTGACATTAACTATGTTGTAAAATACCCTCATGATTTAA